TTCTATCAATAATATCGTACACTAAAACATGTTGACACAGCTGATGGAACAAAATCATTTTAAAAATTATATATTCGATGAATAATTTTTATTACTTTTATTTTTAACAAGTGGCCGCAGATGCGTTAATACCCGTGTTACGATATAAATGAAAATGACAACCGATAAGCGAAAGTACTGAAAAAATTGTGTAATGATATTGGCACGGAGCTTTTACGCGTTTTCAGGAAAAACAACTACAATTTAAAAACCTACTTATTGTTAATTAGAAACGAGAATCATCAATGAAGCTTTCGGAATTATCATAAGCGCTACTGTTGGAGACATCTGCTGGAAACTTAAGCTCAACAGTTTGGTCTATAATCTGATTTCGTAGTGGAAACTGTGTATTTTCCTAACAACGTACCGTAAGCTCTGGTTTTCATACAATAGATGGAACTGGTGATAAAAATCAATAGTCAAGGGGTGGCCACCAGCAGCCATAAATAATGAACCCGTCCATACGACGTCTTTGCAAACCAGTATTTTTTCGTCATAAGCTGTCCCTTAATGCTACTTTTTCATATTATACTGAAACAAAACAAAGGTACGTAAACAGAATTTTTTTCATAGAGGAACGAAAAATGGTGGAGGCGCCGGGATAACTTCAAATTTAATATACATATACATGTGTATTTTTAAACTAAAAATCCCAAAACTAGACTATAAAGGAGTTTATTTTCTCAACAAATATAGACGATTTTTTTTCAACTCTATCGTTAACAATTGTTCTTCTTTCGAATCCCAATTCTGACGATTTAGTACTAATAATTACAAATGCGTTGAACTGAATAGATTGTATCAATATTGTAGTCAAAACATCAGATAGAGCTGACAATTTGGCCTTAAAATAGGAAAACGTATTTGAAGGGTATTTTCACACTCATTTATGACATCGAAATGTTTTTTATTTCAGACTTATGAAGGCTAAATATGTTACATCTATATCGATAAAAAAATTAAACCAATATCTGTGAAGTAAAAACTTTTATTAGGATCAATGCCGACTTAAAAAAAATAAAGTTTATAAAAATATATTTTGTAAAACCTATCAAGTCAGGTCAGGTTTCTTCCAGTCACTTCCAGATCTAATTCACACTGCCATCTTCCGCTAAATGAAGATATGAATACCCCGACCTGCATGGAAACATCATTCATTTGTAAATAAATTTTTATTCAGTATGCCCTTGATGCAAACAAGTTTGTTTACAAAATTAGAAAAAGTGTGACTGAAAATGTTAAAGAGGTCATGAGTTTCTTATATTTTAACGCACATCAAAATTTGTCTAATTTAATATTCCAATTTAAATTTTGCAAAATAATTTACTCCTGTACTAGTGGTTTATGAATTCGCCTTACTTTTGTTAGTCTAGGAATCCAGTTTTCTCAAAAAAAAGTCCAAATTTTATAACAAGATTTTATAGTGACCGATTAGTTCAATTGATTAGAGTGTCGTGCTAGTAACGTGCATACGATTCTCTCATGAGTCACTTTTTTTTCTTTTACTGGTATGATTTATATTTTTTTAGCTTGGGGGTTATCATAAATAAATACAATTTCGAAAAATCAAAGTTTATACTTTTTCGAAGAAGCTGGATTTGTTGTTTCGTACTTCAGGGCGAGGAAAGTTCTGTAAAATAACCATAAATTACAAAATAACATATTGCTATACTTGTGGTTTATGAATCTACCTTATAAGTTTCCAAGCGCAAGTGAAAGAAGTGTTATCATAAGGTCCATATCACGAATGGCTATTTTTATTTTTTCTCAACGCCTAGAGTACGAAAAAATAGGTCCCCTATTTCCGTCTATCTGTTGTTTGTCTGTGTCGATTTTTATTAGATAGAAAATCTCCTAAATAACCGGATAGAATGCTGTCAAATTTTATACGTATTTTAGGAAGATAATGTAGATATTGTAACGCTAATATAGGTACTCGTGGTTTATGAATCCGCCTTGATTTTCGTCACAGTGTGTCGTCTCATTTTCAAAGTACGCTGTAAAGTTTTGAGATCAGAAAATATGGGTTCCTGCAATCGAATACCAATGTTTCACCGAGTCATCTTGTTTCTTAATTTTTCAATGCCAATCTCTTTGACTTTGAATTTAATTTACAATACGGATATGTCAAATCATATGTATACTTATAAAATGAAAGTTTTCATGTTGTGGTGTCCCAGTTTGAATTAAAATTTCGCGCTGATAAAAACAAAAAAGCAGTGCTGCGAATCTGTATTTGAAGAATTTGAATTTGAAAAATAAATTAAGAAAAATCATTGAAACTTAGGCAATCATCTTCACTAGGGTAGACAGTCTTAGAGAATTAGTAAATATCACTCTTTTAAGTTGGTAGTTATTTAGAGGTTGGTAATGCATGAGAAAGTATTCACAATTCATGTTAAGATTTCAGACTGTTCCTGGTTCCAAAATTGTTCCTAGAAACCACGTGTTCGGAAATTCACTTATTCACGTTTCACTCTTTTGTTTATCAAGTTTTAACTAAGGTTCCTGGATATTTTACTTAAGTAATAGCACATTGTAATGTGCTTATTAACTTCTCATTCGAGATTCATATTAGTTCATTTATGCCATTTAAAATCGTCTTAAACGTTGGTTCATTTTGAGAGAGAGGATCGTGAAAAGTTACGGTTGAGTACTTACCCACGTGGACTCGAAAAACGGGAGGGCTTTAATGTTTTCTTACAAGTTGCTTCTGATCTAATTATTCTCTTGAAGGTTTAATCAAATTTTTTGCGACTTGAATTTGAATATTTATTCTCGAAGTAAGTGAGTGTTTCTCAAGATCTTAACAAATGGTTGTTTTGCGAAGAGGACTAAAGAGGATAATATGCGGCAGATTTTTGGGGCATAGAAATGTGAAAAGTGTGTTACACCTGTCTATACAGTAAAATCACCGACAAAGGCTGACACACTATACTGAGCAACTTAAATTCCACTTTCGTTACACGTGGTCCGTAGCTCGTTTGTTCAGTTCTCGACTACCATAATTTAAATTTGCTGCCACACATTCGTATTAATTTGTGTATTATTTGTTTAATTCAGTTTTCTTCTATTTGGTGTTGTTAAAATTGTGTTATTCAAATTTTTGTATAGATTCGCAACATTTGATTTGATTTTGAAAGTTAGGCAGTTTTTTTGTAGCTGAGAATCAAGGGGTCTTTAATTTGCCCAAAGTGCACATGGTCACAGCTTTTTTTTTTGTTTAGGTCTCCAGAATGGAACAAACCATTTTGATCCTACATACTTATTTTGTGTTTGATTTAGCGACACTTTTCCCATTTTTGGACATAAAAAACACACAATGTAGGGTTCCGCTTTTGTTGACGACCACAATTTAATGCCAAATTTTCAGTTACGTCAATGTCGGAAGTATCGTTTTAAATTTATATTTAAAGGGGCTAGACTTTTTCTTTTAATTCCTAAAACGGGAATGTTTTTGTATTTACTAACCACAACTTTTCGGAAAAAGAGCTGTTTCTGATTTTCTCAGAACTGATTTTTATGTAACATATAAATGTTTTACAACAGTTTCCAGGGCGTTTGGTGAAGGTATCGATAGAAACCATGAGAAATTAGCTAAAAGTAACATTTTCTCGGTTTCTGTACGATATGGTCGTCAGAAGAAGCAAACTGACTCCATTCGATTCCTTTTCAGAAAAGGAGCTGTTTATGTAGGTCAGAAGCGGATATGGTGACTGGGATCTCACCACCTTTCAACAGCTGCCACAAATTAAATGTTGTTTGTATTATAGACAACGTCAATGCAACATATGCACGTCCATCCAGCGCACAAACTGTACAGCTGAATTTATCATGTATGTATGTATGTATGTATGATCTGCTCCTGTCAGCAACACTTGCATTCCAGTCCGAAATCTGCATAATATTTCCACCCCAGCATCCATCCCACGTCCGTTCGACGTACATAATTTGAATTCTAATTATTTAGTAGCTCAAGACGATTAAGCTGTAACATTTAAATTTGTTTACCTGAATCAGTGTTGTCCCAAACTGCCTCCGCAGTTTGTTCGCAGAATGTTGCTAATGACACAAATTTCCATTAATTAAAACATTAGGGAACCCTTAACTAGAAGATGAACGTTTTAATTTTCTCCTGGTCTTCTTGAGTAGAAAAAATTAATGAAATGTAAAAACATTCCGGGGAAATTTGCTGAGTCGTGCTGAATTAATAAAGTTGTGCAACTTTTTAATAGGTGTCTTCCAACTTTCCGCTCACAAAAATTGCGCAGTTTCCATTTAATCGCCAATAAAATTTGCAATTTGGAGTTTGCCGTTGCTTGCTGACTAATTGCGTTTAATTGGAGTTTGTCAAATCATTTGCAATTTTCGCAAAGACCATTTCGGTGCATCAATTCACGGACGAATTCGCCAAAGTCGGCACTTATCGACTAAATGGGCTCTTTATTGTGTGTTTGTTTAAACGCCAGAGATGCGTTCGTTAATACACCAATTTGAATTCAATCAATAAAACCAATTTGCAAATCAATGAGAAAACAAATCAGTTAAAACAAGGGGAATGCTACACGTAAATGAAAAGTTTGTATTTCCAGTCCACGTTCCGGCTTTTGCTTCCAATTTAATTGCGAAGTCGTTATTTTGGAGAGGAATTCAAGGTACGATCAAAGGCTCTTCAAAGTTTTTTGAATTTGTTTGCAGCGATTGAACACAGAGGCGGCTAGTGGAATGTGGTTGTTAAGTCAACAACGCCGCAAAGAATTTTATTTTAGGGTGGGCTTACGTTCATCCCAAGCGCTTGTGTCGGTTTCATATTTGATGACTGAAGCTAGTTGTATTTTTTAACAAAAATATGTGCTGGGAGAGCAGGAATGACACGTTTAGTTGACTTATACCACAACTGTTTTTATTAAAAAAGTGTATATTAGGGTAACAACTTTTAGAAAATTTTGAAAGAAAATACACGAAAACTTATCAGTCATAGGATAAATATACCTCTCACATTAGTTTTACACAATATAGACTTATGTTTATAATCTATGAACAGTTTGACAACATAGAAAAATATTTATTATACTATATTACAAAATCATTTGCCTTAATTAACGATTTCAAGGCACCTTTACAAAATACAAAATAAATAAAGATCCACGATAGCAAAAATAACAATTTTTTGGAAAATAGAAAAATAATCGAGAAGTGCTAAGGAGAACTACTGAATATTTGGCCACGTGGATATTTTCTAAAACTAGTGGCTAAAAAGCCTTACATCAATACATTTATTTTATTGATTATATTAGTAGCAATATTACTAATTAACATAGTACAGATATGCCACATACCGACAATTAATAAACGACTTACAGGAATAAAAAAATCACATTAAGTAACATTTCGAAGCAATTAAAGACGAAAAGCGACAAAAACCATTCACCTTGTTACAACATAAAGCTAAAGCAATAAAATCACAAATTCATCACAAACGTATTCAGGCCTTAATCAAAATTCATCAAACCATCACAGAAGTCACTAGTTCGGAAAATGGAGTTGCGGATGCAATTTGCAGACTTGATAGGTTTCGACAATTACTTCGCAACGGATTCAGTGAAATTAAATAGAAACGGACCGAGAGAATAACAATGCACGATTTTGATCAAAGGCCTGCAAAATAATAACACTAAAACATCACAAGAGAATCAGCAGCAATGATTAAAAACGATCGGTGCTAACCTTCGTGTATACATTAAGTCACATCTGCAGTAGGTCTTAGATAACTTAATCCGAGTTAAAAATAGTTTTAAAAACGATTATTCTGAGTATCACAGAATGGACACTACATCTAATGGCTCGTATAAAAAAGTCCTTAGATAGAGTACAATCTTAAACCCCTCTATTTTAATGGGAATCGTTAAAATTACATAAATTTGATTTTAAAATTGGTTTTAACGCTAAGACATGCCTGAAGAAGGATCGTCATTGTCAGTACCGATTATCTTACCGTGGTTCCACTTATGACTAACGTTCTGGTCTGTACTATCTGGGAAATCTACTTTTTCCGCGTCGTTATCGACATAGTCAATATTGTCAACATTTTTCACGAACATAGGTTCAGTATTAACAACCCTACTGCTATACCTTTGCTCTTCCGAGTCCCCCGTCACCACAGGTCGGGTTTTCCTATCACTCTCGTCTATACTTTTATTGGAAACGACCTGGCTGCGGCCCTTCGGATTAGCCTCCGCTTCCTCTCCGCCAGGGTCGTTCGGATTCAGTTTTAATTTGGCGATACGGTTCTGCACTATCTGCAAATGTTTGAGGACGTAATCTTCCCCCGGAGCCAGCTGATGAGCTTTCTCTAAGCAGCTTTGTGCCTCCAAGAGCTTGCCCCGCTCCACGTGGACCACACATAAATTGTGGAGGCCCTGGATGTTTTCGGGATCCAATTCCAGAATTCGCCGATAACACTGCAAAAAATAGCTATTAGCGGGCGAACCGATGGACGGTAATAAGCTTACGTTTTCGGCGGCGTCCAGGTCTTTGATATTATTGATATAGATGTCTCCGAGGAGAATCAAGCCTTTAACGTGATCGGGGTGATGCTTGACGAGCTGATTTAAGAACGGAGCAGCTTCTAATGGCCTTTGATCGTCCGCCAATAACAAAGCCAAATTGAAAAGCGAGCTCCTGAAATCGGCTTTTAAATGGACAGCTCGCCGGAACCAGTTCTCGGCTTCTATGATATTTTTCTCGTCCATCGCAAGCATTCCCAGATTAAAATGTACTCTTTCGTTTTTCTTGTCCTTTTCTAGGAGCTTCACCAGCCGTTCGCGGGCGATTTTACGCAATTCAGGCCGGCCGAATTCTTGCAAGAGAATTGCGGAATTCAAAAGAGCTTGTTCGTGCTCCGGATCGAATTCTAGAGCTTTATCAAGGTAGGCGAGTGCTTGGGACGCCTTTCCCTGCTCCAGGAACACCACCCCCAGCTGAAATTAAACATTGTATTACGAACAAAGCACAAATTAGGGGAGCAACTTAATAATAACAACATCTTTATTTCCGAGGGACCGCAACCGACATATTCTATGCTCATATAAACAATGAACGATAGGGTTACAACAAAACGGTCTGGATATAATAATTGATGGTCTTTATAAAATAGCACATGCTAGTTACGTCCAGAAATGATTAAAAGGCAGCCATTTGGAGTAAGCGTTCCAATTTCACAGAGGTAGTATAGTTCGCCAAGGAATATAGTGATTTTACAACTTTGAAAACAGCCAGTAGCGGTATTAGTACAAAAGGGTCTATGTTCCCAAACCAGGAGCTTGGTAAAGTCAGAATGATAAAACCAGTATATTCCTCGACACGCTATAAACGCTTATTTGTTTAACAAAGCCGGCGAATGTGCTAATACATTATCGTGTTAACACACGTCTGGTAGTCTCAGTTTAATCCTTCTATGTACGGAGGAAATGCCGAGAGTCACCGTCTTCGTTGATGGAACGTTCATTTGCAGGTATTAAAGTCTCTGTGATGAGACAACGGAACGTAGTAGCCATTTTGTGCCACGACAAGGTCAAATTTGCTACTAATTAAAATTGTGTCTTCAGTTTTACCACACAACATATAAATTTCCTCTTTACGGATCAGACGTGAATCAAGCGAAAAACAAACAGCAATAATAATAATATATACACTACGTGACAGTCGTGACTCACTTACTGTTATTCTGTTGCGCGTAAAAATCCCCTTTCGTTGCGGTATCTAAGTTTTTTCCTGAAAAACGAATGTTCATACGATGGAGCGAGACACATAAAATCTATAAGATACGGGTCTGGAAAAATAGGCAAAAAATTGTGTGACAAGATGGAAAATATAAACATAAAAAGCAAAGACGTTTCAAATCGGGCGACATTCTTTTACATTTAGGAGTCAATCAAGCAGCTGCACGTTCTCTGCTATTGTAATACTACTTATGATACTATAAACTAGCGTAACTCGAGATTTTGTTTATACAATTGCGGTAAGTGGCACTCTGAATAGTAGCAGAGTGCCAGTTTAATTTAGAAAGTCTAGCCAGCAAAATTGGATTGCTACTTCTATAACGAAAACTTTCGCAAATTTAATAAGAAAAATAAATCAACCAGATTGTGTTAAGAAAAGTGACCTTCCAGCAAATCCGTGTGCTCGAAAATGGAATTAACGTTAATCAAACAAGAGAAAGACAAAACAAGACAAAGAAATCCACCTTCGTTCATAAAATATAAATTGAATGATTGTTTTCTTTTAGAACAATGGCGTTCACTGAAACCTAACCTCAAACTGTCATTGTCACGAGCCATTTTGTTGTGGTGACAATATGATCGACTTGTTTACCGAAATTAATAAAAAATGCGGAACAGATTAAAAGCGATTGTTTATTTATGTACCTAAATCAAGCCTAAATCTGGCCTAATGCATAATGGAAATAAAAAACACCCACGTCAATATCGATTTAAAAATTTTAATAAACAGTATTCGTTTTACCATTTTTATACCTAAAAATAAATGAGACTAAACTGAAAATGCCAATGTCTATCGGTGCATAGATAGACTCGCTATTTTAAAGCGAAATTTTTTCATAAGGTTGTAGCGAGATCCACTGAAATAAAAAAACAAGAATATCCGTCGTGCTGAAAATCTTGAAAGCTTATTAATTATGGATCCAGGCAGACCTGGTGTCAATATCTGCCAGTAGACGGTTTGAAAACTAGCTTGTAAACGTGGTAAAAATGTGGTCTAGACTGTACTTACGTTGTAATAAATGTCGGGGTTGTTGCTGTCGTAGAGCAGCGCCCTCTCGTACACCTCTTGTGCCTCTTTGGTTCTATTCAGCTTGATTAGAATATCCCCTCTGTTGATGTAGGCTTGCGTGTAATCGGCTCTCATGCTGATGGCTTGCCTGTACAGCATGTCAGCCTCCTCTAATCTCGTCGAGTTCTTGGAGATCAAGTTCGCAAGGTTGAGGAAAACGTTTAGATGATTAGGAGCGATCCTTGCCTGGTAGGATTCGCCGGGCTTGGCTTTGGGGAGCAGAGATTTGGCTCTGAGATACGCCTCTTCGGCTTCTTTGTACATCTTGAGATGGTTGAACGTCCTGCCGACGTTGATGTGGGCGCCCACGTCGTCCTCCTGCACGCTCACCGCGGTTTTGAAGAAGCTCAGGGCCTCCTCGTACTTGCCCTGGCTCTCGAGGGCGTGCCCCACGTTGTTGAATAACTTGGCGTTTTTCTGATTGACCCGGAGACCCGACATGAAGATTGAGTACTCGTCCTCCCAATCCCAGTTCCTCAAGTAAGTTTTCGTCCCGTGCGTTAGGAGCAGGATACTAAATAAAAACCAGGCAACTTTCTTACTTTTTTTCTCGGCCAGGACGCTCCAGCCGTACGCCACGAGCATACAAAATCCCATCGAAGGCATGTATAAAACTCTTTCTGCTATTACGAAGCCGACGGGGAAGAAGAGGTTCGAAGCGGGCAGGAAGGGAAGCGCCATTAAAGCCACGCTCTGGAAGTAAGAAATTTTATTCCAATAACAAGAGTTTATTCACCAGCGGGACGTTCAAAAATAAAAATTCCTTAAGTTCGCTGAAAAAAAATTACCCCTATAACTATTTTAATTAACATTAAATGAATTAGTGTAACGCATAAACGGGAAAGGATAAACTTTATTTTCTATTATTAGATTTAGAGAGCTTGTAATTGACAGTTTACACAAATAGCTGGTTTGTCGTAATTTTGGAACTATTCGTTTATCAGTTATTTAAACAAATGTAAAGTTTCACGAAAACTAGTAAAACTTGACTTATTTCTGCGTGAATAGTAACAACTAACTCTTGTTCCCACAGTTAGTCATCTAAGGTTAATCGCTCCGACACGAGGGTCAGGTACATCATTGCAGTGGCGTTTTGGTGCTTTAGCAGCAAGAATCCGCTCTCTGCTGATGAGCCAAAGCTAATTGTAGTTGATTTCAATGACAACAAATGTTATTTTTTAACTTGGGTTTCATGTAGGCTTAAGATAGCTATTCACTTTTCTAAAGTAAATGTCAGGGTAAGACGGGGAGTGGGAGAAATAATTACTGCTATAAATTATCCACAAGAATCAATAGTAACGTTTGACATCGCCATGAAATTTTGAAGTATACAAACAAATGTGGGTTCTCCGAAAGCGTTAGTAAAAGAATTCGCGTAATGACCGATCCCACAACAAAAGATTTCTCTCTCGGTAGTTTTTTTTTTAAAAAAGGTTATAATTATGTTTAAAAATCCCATCAGAAAATGTCGACCGTTATCGTTAAATGTCAACAAGGAAATGAGGACCGAGAGGAAACGAACGAAATTTACTGACCGCTCAAAAGACGACTGTTCGTTTCAACAAAAGGATTGCTGCTCGGAGGGAGATTAAACGTAACTATTACGTTTGACGATCCCTTGTGCACTGCAATATATTTCCGACTTACACGAACGTCACGAATAATTGTCTAAAAAACAATTAAAGACAAATTCTTCGTAATAATAGTTACATTTATAACTTCAATATTCCGCGGAATGAGGTCAAGATGGCACGCTACTGGGCACGAAATGTTGCATTCGACGAAAATGAATTGAAATATAATGTTACGTGTGGTCTGCGCAGATTAATTGCGATAACACTTGATCCCTATTGTCATTCAACTCGTCTATCCTCACACAGCAGGATATTTTAATGAAATAACACAAAGGAGAACAATTAATATATGAATGTCAATACAAAAGCGTCCTACCGTTTTTAATAATGTTAAATTTCCATATTTATTCACGCAGAGCCATTAACGCAAAAAAACGATTAACCCCTCGAACGCGGTAAGTGTTAAAATATCTTTTAATTGAAACTTAATTCACACAAAACGTTTCCACGGTGGAAATTCCGCCACAAAAATAAACGTGTTGAGTAATTAAAAAATGTTAATCCATAATCCAGGCTTCATCGACATTACGCAATGTTTCCAATAACGTCAAGCAAGAAAAAGCTTGTAGCACCGTCGGAATTTTCAACCAACTAAACATCTGCAATATTTTAGTTGTACGTCACTTGTCAAAAGTCGAAAGTAATATATCGACACAAACGAGAGACAGCCGGAAACGGGGGACCTATTTTTGCGTTCTCTAGGGGCCATGAAGTAACCGTTTGACGGATGGACTATGGCACCTAAAGAAAAATCTAATTAAATTTGAAAAAAAAGATCAGAATTATCCACAGTAAATACCGCACAGAAGATAAACAATGCTTGTTTTCCATTGCAGTGTTTGTTAACAATTAATTTGCATTATTTCACCGTACCTGAAAATGCAATTTCCACCAATGTCATTAACGGTAATACGTTATAATTAATTATTATTGATAATTTGGTTGGTGAATTAATTAAATTTGCAAAATCCTGCCTAATCACCGTTCTTTGCACTGATATATTAAGTTAGCAGATGTTGTATTTACACTTTAGCTTTTTCAATAAGGGTTAGTTTAGCTTGAAATGTAAAAGTGTAAAGAAACACAATTAATATTAATAAAAAGAATACGTTGGAAACCACTCACGTAAATGAGCACAAATGATTTAACAAAAAAACGCTGAAACAATTAAATCACGAATTTACGTTTATGTCGTCTATATGAAAGCTTCCCATTTACTAGAACATAATTAATTGTAAAAAACATGTAGCCCAAGCATAAAAGTTGCATGTCGAAAGCATATTTGTCTCGTACGTAATTGTAAAAAATGACGCGCCTTTATTTGAAGGTATTTATACCAAACAACAAAGCAATCTACTTATGTGCAATTGCCGCAGTTATATATAGAGCAAACACATCAGACATATTTATAGAAACAATACTCCGAATGCATTGATTTATTCCCCAAGAACTTACTCAGCACAGGAGTTTATTAACTCCCCCACTCCCTAAATCGCAAATATAAATTATTAAAATCAATTTCTGTCGTGAAAACTTTATACAAGTTATTCGTTATAAAATTCCATCTCGGCAGCTCTCGGTTTTTTGTCCGGTTGCATATTTGCCCACATGAATATTTTAACAAGTATACGTTATACTCGAAAAGTTGTAGTAAATCAAGTTTGCGTTTAACTTGAGAGAATACTTCCGGTTTGTACCTGCGGGGATTTACTTTTTAATTAGTAACACGGAGACTGTCTTGGGAAGTATGAAAAGTTTACAACAAGTGAGAATAGTCAGCAAAAAGCGGGAGATACGACTTTCATAAGCCATTCGTTAAACGCGGACGTCAAGAGGTATAGTTTTGGTTATTAAATCCGCAAAATACGGAAGAAACCGACTCCAACTTTTAATTAATCTGGAATTTATGCAAATCCCTGTTCCGTGCTACACGACATTTTTTTCTTCGAGTCAGTCGTGTTCGCAGCTCGTGCAACATTTCGAAAACATCGGAAAAAAACCGACTTGTGTCAATTTTCAAGTGTTGGCAACTCAACTTTAGCAGAACGGAAGAAACTGTTACCTTTGGCATTTCGCGCACCCCTGTGGGCACGTAAACGCCGAAGAAATACTCGAACTCGGGCTGGAATCAGTTCCCTTGTTAAATTTCCATAATTAAGCTCTGTAGCCGCACTGTGTGTCTATCGAACATAATCAAATGTGCCTGAAACGTCTCTGATTCCGAAAAAGACGAGTTGGAGCTGTTTCCATGTTCCGACGCCTGCAGCTTTGGTGTAGGTGGTCAGACCTTGGAAAATGTAACTTCCAGCATTTCCGGGCACGCTTTCCAACATTTCGGAGGCCCCAGGGCACGCAAACGCACGGGAAGCTTCAAATTTTAGCCAGAAACCAACTTTCTCATTAGGTTTCGGTAATAAAGGTATGTAACTGAAGTGTGAAAAGGCTCAGGAACAACAGCATGGTTCAGGATGATATACTAGCGTCCATCGTAGACGTAGAGGAATGACGTTTTGTCTACCAGGTGGTCACAACAAGGTTTTATGACGCCAACTTGTGTATTTCCTAAAACGTGGAAAACGTCAAGTGTTTCTCAACATGTCCACGAAGGACAACATCTTAAGTTGTAGTGTAACTCAAGTCACATATTTAGGTCCAATTCTTTCGCTCGCATTGTTTAATGACGTTTGCAACATTTTTTATTGTTATGATCGCGTTGAACCTATAGACATGTTGCATGAATAATGTAAACATTACTAAGGACCGTGACCCATTAAAACAGCCCCGGCAAAAAATCCCTTCAAATTACCCCGACTTGAAATTTTTGTAGACAAAATTAATAATTTTTGTTTCAGAAAATACAATTGATTTAAGGATGTTGTTCTTGGTTCTTATTTATTCACAAAAATATTAAAATTTGGGAGAATGATTAAGGTCAGGTAAGGTCAGGTCAGGTCAGGTCAGGTCAGAAACAATATTTAAAGAGTAAGAGGAAAATGAGGCGTTTACAAGGGAAACAGAAGAAGACGGAACACGGTGAATAGCTTAGGATGGCGGGTAAAGAGTACAACGAGACAAGAAAAAAGTTAAAAATATAAATATTGAGATCCAAGAGAAAAAAATGAACGGAGATATTAAATCCGCTAGAAAAAGACCAATGGGGGAGACGGTACGAAATTGTGATAAAGCAGTTAAAACCAACCCCACCGAATAAGTTGGAAAAAGAGACCGAGAACGAGGTACTAGTAGCAATTTTTCCAGGTAAGGATAGAAGATTGGGTTGCGGAGTACCCCAAGGATCGACAATGGGGCCAGTTATATGGAACAACGTTTATGATAGTATATTGCGAATGGACATGGGGCCAAATTCAACGACATCGCATATGCGGATAATCTGGTATTCATAGTGGCAGATAAGGAAATGAACAAAGCAGAAAAGGAAGTGAACTGACAGTGGTCAAGAATCAATGAGAAAATGCAACAAATGGGACTGGAAATAAATCTCGATAAATCCGAAGCTATAGTAGTTAGTGAGAGAATGCAGGAGGAGCCGGTCCAAATCCGAATGAAAGGGAAAGAAATAAGAATCAAAGAATCGATAAAATACCTAGGCGTAACAATCGACGCAAAATTAACGTTCAAAGAACATCTATGGAAGACTGTCGAGGAAACAGACAATCTCATAGGGACGTTGGGAAGACTCATGCCTAATATAGGAGGCCCAGGAAATAAGAAAAGAAGGATTACGGGAATGACAGGCTTCTCGATTATACTATACGGAGTACAGGTATGGGGTAAGGCAATTGTAATCAAGAGCTACAGAGAGAAGGTGGAAAAGACCATAAGAAAGTTACTGATACGAATAAGTATGACCTACAGGACGGTATCGACGGAGGCACTATATGGAATTGCTGGAATGATGCCAATAGAATGTTGGGTGGAAGAAAGAATGGAAATATCAGGTAGATAAATGGCAGAAGAAATGGGAATAGGAAACGTGAAAGGCGAAGTGGACCAAGAAATTAATTTCTGACGTTAGGGAATGTATCAATAGGAAAGAGGAGGAAATCATATTTAGGTTAACACAGTTTTTGTCAGGATATGGGGCGTTTGGTAAATATAGAGAAAGAATAGGCAAGGTGGAAAAAGCGAGATGTTGGGGTTGGGGGTACGAGCAGGACACAGCGGAGCACGCGATATTCTTCTGCGAAAAAAATGAAGGGAAACGCAGAGATGTGGAGGAAGAGCTAGGAGAGGCTATGACGCCGGATACAATAATTAAAAAAATGATGGAAACCATCGAGAACTGGAAAAAGTAACAGGATATGTAGAGGAAGTAACAAAGGACCGTAAGGAGGAGGAAAGAAAAAGAGAAAAGGCGGGAAGAGAGACGGACAAAAATGGAACTGGGAACTGAGATAGGAACATAGAAAATGCCATAGGGTGGTACCGATGGATTGGAGGCTAAGAGACGGAGAGTGAATCCCCCAGACAGAAGATCAGCCGAGCCGCATACCATAGGCGGTAAATGTTACCTGGCGTCTAACACCAAGGTAATGCAGCCCACGGGGAGTAACTGGGTTTAAAAAAAGATCAGGTCAGGTCAGGTCAGGTCAGGTCAGGTCGGTTCAAGTCTTAATTAAGTAGTAACGGCATGTTTTTTCCTGAGAATTCCTTTTCATTAATATGATTGTAGTTCCGGACTTTCATGTTTTAAACTATAACTTCCACTGAAGAAACAAACCGTTCTAAGAAAATTCATGAAATAGTGGACGTCCATATTTTTGTGTATATGTTTGGTTACTTATAGATTTTGGGCTACTTTGAGGGAACTATTTTGTTGGGACCTATTTTATTAGTGGCTATTTGTTGTGGCGATTTTGTCTCGGGCTATTTTGTCGGGGTACCATTATGGACAATATTACTTGGATCAGTCAAGAACATAAATTGTAAAAAAGAAATGATTTATTTTTCGTCGTACTTGCAAAATCATGATTAATATTTCTGATTGAAATAGGTCTAAATATCAAATCCATCGATTTTAGTTCGATATTTTGTTGTCCCCTATTTTGAATCATTCGAGATATTTAAATGCAATGTGGTTTTTAAAAAGTCAAATAAAGGCATTTGATTTTCCTTGGGACAAATCCCCGCCCAAAATTATGGGTAACTAATCTAAGTCCAGATCGAACAGTGTAGACCCAGCTGTTGGATAAATGAGCAAATTTCATGGATAAATCAATCGTTATGATCATTTGTTCATTTTCCGCCTACATACATTTCTGCAATAGATGATTTGTTCGGCCTGAGGACGCTGACCGATAAACAGGAGTACAGCTATGCACAAGCTGATTGTTTTTACATGGCTGCTAGGCTCTCAACCCGAGTTTACTCGAACGAGCGTTTCACCCCGAAGCCTGACGAATCCCTCATTCGTTGCCTACAATTTTTCGCTTCAAAACTGTGTGTAGGGTGCCCCTAAAAAACTTGTTCACTTCAAGAACTTTATGTTTCGGCATACTAACTAAATTTTTTTTGGCTAATAACATTTCCTGAAGAACTTTCCGTGTAGTTGTTTTTGTTTTAGCCCATTTATGTTTTCTAGTTTATGTAGCGTGTGTATTTTTTTATGCTAGATAGATTTAAGGCTGTGTGGTTCAAGTCTTGTTTTTTCAAACTTATATGAAAGGTTGTCTTCCATGAAATATTCAAAAAAAAGCAAATTTTGAGATCGATTTTTTACAGCCTGGAATGCGGAAATAAATCATAGGGTTTTTTGTACTTCATAAAAGAAGTTTAAATGTTCTCATTCTATTCACATATGTTTCCTATTGCCTTTCTTTCTTCACCTCGTGTTGGAAAGGTAAATTTTGAACATTTTGGTCGGAAGACGCTAGTAATACCGTTTGAGAACCACCACATCAATAACTATGATTTCTCCTTAGCCAGGTGCCGTTTTCTTTTTCTTTTTCGAAATCGCTGTCGTATCACCTGATGTCGAGGTCAGGGGTTTCAAATTAAGAAGTTAAGTCTGACTGTTGGTCCACATCACTATCGCCTATAGGATTTGAAAGTATTTTTATGTGCTTGTTGACTTAATTTTAAGAATTTTTGGGCAACATCCCATTCTTGGATGTTTAAGGCCCACGTCTGCGCGTGAATTTTCGCAACTGATGAAAGTACAAGCTAAATGTCCGAGAGGGGCTGTCCCCTGGCGGTGAGATGAAAATATCTGTAAACTATTCTACAAATCTCTATTTCCTATTCTGCGGAAATAAGTCTTGCTACATTTTGCGTACTGCTCGAGACGTCAGCAGTTCGTATCTACCCACATCTGAAAAAAACCTAGCCACCTGCATTTTATTATCCTTCGGTATTAGCGATCGGTTTTGTTTCATAATTAAACTGCTGAAATGAAAGTACATTTTTATGAACTTTAAATGTGTTCTCGTGGATATAATCCTGCGCTTCTTTTTGTTATTATTTTATTAATAAAAAAAAGAAAGTATTACATATATTTTTTCTATTTTCCTTGTTTTCTCTTAATTATTACTTTTTATATAATTTTTTATATATATTCGTTATAGGTGAGTGGGAGGAAGCATTTTTTCTCTCAATTCCCTAAAATTACATTAATACTTTAATAATTTTTTGTATTATATTTATTATATCCACAGTTCTTTTTCATATGACGCCTTAAATAAAGCATATTTCATAATTAATATAACGTATGGTTGTGTTTTATAAATACGGCAAAAGGAATTAATAGGTTACTGTTACCAATATTGTTCTTATTGTGTCACTGTAACCGAAAATACTGTTATCAATATCTTCTACAAATTTTAATCAGCGTCCTCTTGTGGAGAATTACTTCAGTACGAACTAAACCGTGGGGAACCAAGTCGACCGAAGGCCACAATTCGGTACCACAAAAATGATGGTTTACCGATTTAGTTGTAGAATATAGTTTTTGGACTTGTTTACCTCAGTTGCGGATTTTTTAGGTTTATAAATGGTATCACAAGCAAGCTGACACTTTTCTTAGGGGTACCTTCTATGTGTCCGCTTAAAGTGGTCTAAAAATTGGTCAAGTTTATTTATTTATTTATTTTATTAAAAACTGCACACTAGACAAGCTTATAAATTAAGAGGTACTTAGATTCAAGTTTGTTTTTTGAAATATCATTTTTTGAAGGGATATACATATACTATGTAAAATGCAACTCAGCTAAATAACTGATTTTTTAAATTACAATATCCTAATTGTTTATTTTTATTCATTTTGAATTGATCATTAATTTCATAATTTTTTTGTTAAATCGTTTGTAAGTTAAACCTGCTCTAATTTACACCCCGTATCCCACTTACAACGAAAGTGATACACATCCCACTTTCGGTAACCTAAGCTTATTCTAGCAAGCAGTCAAAGGTAAGTTACTTAGCGCCCACATATATCTATTTTGAATCCATCTCCAAGCACTCCAACCTTTTTATTTAATTAACACCCACCTGGTTTCGCGGTTAAAGGCGCCCTATCTTCAGAGATGTAATTATACTACGACACCACGACGCCTTTTTGTAAGTTGTGGCAAAAAAGAATGGCTATGTTAGTAATTTTGATTGTGTTTGACGTTAATTTAGAATTTCAAAGGGTATAAGTAGTGTACTTACAACCCTGAGGATGTGTCGCATATAATCACGAAGCAGTTGGCGTTAGTTATGGCGTTGATAAAACAACTGATTGAAAAAAGTCTACCCAGATGTTGTCAATTATCCAAAAACCTACCGACTTCTGAAGAAGTTGATACATGAATCTGGCACAAATGATCATAGTGTTTTTGTGTTAAAATTTCATAGTAAATCGAATTATTTCTTGAATTTTGATAATTTTAAAAATATTCAAAACTACTCAAAATTTTGTCCTAGTTTTTCAACTGTAGTCTTATTAAATTTCTATCAAAATTCATTGTTACTTGAACAAAAAGTGTATTGAAATTTCTAACATGCGAGGTTTTTCTTTATTATTGAAGATTTTAAAGTCAATCAGTGGTAAAGTTGTAGACTATGGACACGAATTTTAAATTTGTATTCTTATGCTAATTGTAAACTAAAAGGAATGAATGCGTAGAAAAGCCATTTGCCATCGACTTACCATGAGGATGGTGACGCGCTGTTGCCGGTTCTCCGTCGTATAGGCCGTGATGAAGAGCGCCATAAAGAAGGTGTAAGCCGCGATGGTGGAGAGATTCCTCGGGTCGACGAAGGACTCGACCAGAGGGATCGTCCCCATCGTCCAATCACAGCACAGGTTGCACGGAAACAGGAGCAGCCAAAGATTGACGCTAATTAAATAATGGTAGGTCAGCTGTCTGGCCGGAGTAGGTGCAACAGATGCGGGATTATCAAACCTCGTAAAAACTGGCAACTGCGAGCCCATTATCTGTAAGCGCGCTAGTAAAAGACATAAAGTAGTGGCTGAAAGCACGAGCAGCCTTTTGGTTGCTTCGCTTGACCATGGTAAGTGGTATGAAGACTTGGCCGTTATGGCCGCCTTTACGACGTGTTTTATCTCTGGAAGACGCACCTGGAAAAGTCGTAAACGAGCTTGTTATTGCGTTTTGTAAGGGATAATGTTTTATTTACCTTCTGAGTTACAAATATTTCATAAGCTGCACACACGCCCGCTACTGTGATTCCTTGTTCTTTGCAGAGCATCGCCGTGGCGATGGACATCATGGAAGGGATGAGGTATTTCCAGCCTGGAACAATTATTAAGATCGAAAATGTTTTGAAATCGAAGTTTGAACGTTACTGGCATAAATTGAGATTAATCTGTAAACACGGCGCAGTGATAGAACCTCAAACAGCTGTAACCAGATAACACCCGGTGCTGCAGTTTTCACCTCCGCAAATGTTCTTTCTGTGCGAAGCGTTTAAACCCCGTTATGGAAACTAATTACGAAGCGGCCATTATTCACTATTATATTTCATCAGTTATCAAACAGTAATTACAATAAAACTGTAATTTCAACTTTACAACTAGAAAATATTAAGTACTTTAAATCAGGCAATGTAGACGTTAAGAGGAGAAACTTAAACTAAATTAGCGTTCAAAACTGATCATTTCGGCACTCGAACGACCACCTTTACGTTTTACTGCAACTAATTAGGGAACTTAAAGACACTATTAGAATCATTGCTTTAATTGTACCGATTTTGCACTTAAAGGAAGGAAATGCAATCCGTGTGAAGCATTGTAAATGAGAACGTAAAAATTTGATTGGCTATTTACGTTTCGGTTCGAAGTCTGGATTGAAAAGAGAAAAATGTTTTTGTTTGGCCAAAGTTTATAGTTTCGACATTTATTCCATTTTACTAAATAATAAATGCGGCAAAACAAAGAAATACAACGACAAATATTAATGAAATCTTTTAATATGTTATAACCACATGAACTTTATTTGGGAACACATAGGCAGTCCGATAATCAAATATTGAAAAATTGATTTTGTGAGGAATAATAAATTACAGCAAAAAATCACTCTTATTTAACATATTCCGGGAAATAGATGTGTATGTATTATGTGTTTAAAACACACTCATTGTCGTCAAACGGTGTTTGTATGTTCCACCGTTAAATTTATCACGACACGCACCATATTTTTGTTACGATAGATGATACCAAATACCATTATTCAATCTAGAACAGAAATGTCGCATACACAGTAAATTTCGTAACTGATTCGAGAACACAAAAGAAGTGATTTCCCTCTTCTAAGTATTTTAGGTATCAATAGACTTACTATTAAGTTACTAACTTGTTATCTTTTACAGAAAAGTGGTTTTCTTACAATGATCTAGTGTGCTTGTAATTCTGCTGGTAAAAGTATCCAAAAAGAGGTCGCTTTTAGATAGAGCTTTTACTACTTATACAACTGGAGTGGAAACATGAAAGAACATGTTGAGAGGTGGTTTAACTTAACACGAAGGAATCACAAAACAGAATGACGATACAATCGGCACAGTTTCCTCCCCCTAAACTCCCAAGTGGGCCCATCCGGACACTTTTACGTCTACTGCGACGTGTAATTCGTGCATTCTCATTAATTATTAATTGTGTTACATTTTACACAAATATGCATTTGACAAAATAAAACCGAGGTAAGCTTTTTCTAAGTCGTTATTTTACCACTGATTTTTATGGAGGTCCGGCCGGAGTTGTTCCTCCGGTTTCCGCGTAGCAACAGTCTTAAAGCTGCAACGATTTTATTAATGTTGACGATCATCCGATAGAGCTTCTCGAAACTTTTATTATACCATTTATTTTATCTACTGCGGCTTTTAACAGATTCACGAATTCGTCTATATGATTTTTATTTTGTGGACAATGAAACTAATAATATTTGTACGTATTATTCACTTCGATTATCGAGGCAATGGACTGCAAATTTTATGATTTGGAAATTATTTGTTGAAGCGAAACTAAAACCAATAAACAACTGAATGATAAAAAATTTTTCACCGACAAGGCACATGGCTCATTTTTTCTGAAATCAACAGCATTTATAAAAAAAATTATTTTGGTTTAACTGTGCTTTAGAAATGTAGAAAATACGCATCCAAAAAACACACGGATAAATAAATAGAAAAGCCGAAGATCTTCTCAATCAATAAAATTGATTGTTTCTAAAGATAAAGTTAAAGAACCTCTCAAAGACTTTTCTCATTTTGTTTACTAAAAATTCTCTATCAAAACTATTTCTTAACCACACTTTTTTTTTCCACAACAAATGAAACACTATACCAGAGGACCGGTTTCGGTTTATTCCTTCTTCACCCCTCTACTACAGAAACAAAATTAAACATATTTTGGTGTTAGAATTTTAACAAAATTTAAAGGAAAATGTAACGAAGTGAATTTTCGTGGGCCGGAAACCGGGGACGCATACCGAGAGCTGGGGGTAATTCCGCGATCGCCGCGCCGACGTTTTATTCTTTTTGTTTATTTTGTTATACGAACTTGTAGTTTTATTATTGAAGAATTAGTCGTAATATTTATTATTTTAGACGTGTAGCAGGGAATAAAACCCGATTATTGTTTAAAATATTTCATTCCGTTTTATTTATTCTCTTGCTTTCCACCTGGAAATCCGTGTGTCCGGTTTGAGAGCAACCCGGGTACTCCCTCTCCCGGAGAGAGCTGGCGCCCGAGCGACTGCCGCTCCCGAACGAAGGCGCCAGCGGCATTAATCGGCCCAAGGCTTGGCACCGAGGCACGCCGCCCCCACGGGTTATCAGCAAAATTCCAGACCGTGACCATCCCGTCTCAGAGGACTTTTGTCGCAAAAATTACCGTTACATATCGTATCTAACTTCACTTCTTATTTCATGTCGCATTTATCTTCTACCAATAACATACTAAAAACCAAAGATGTTTTACACTATTACTACACTAAAACAATCTTACCGTCAGCTCTTCTTAAATATTATATTACTACTATCAAAATTAAAAATTAAAAAGTATCTACCACGTGGTGATTTTTTAAGATCCTCTCTGTGATATTGTGTTTCATTTGATGTGGAAAAGAAAAAGTGTGGTTAACAAATAGTTTTGGTATTAATTTTCTTCCACGCAGTAAAACAAATGAATATAAAAATTCTCCATTGTTCCGTCTTTCAATATTCAATTCTGTTTCCAATACTGAAAAATTGTATGAAGGTTAAACAAGTCACAACTTTAGTAGAGTCATGATATTTGATCTGGTATTGAAATTTGAATTCCCATTCAAACATTTTTGTTAAATCAAAACTATTCACTGCCCATGTTATTGCATTTTATAACAGTTATCCATTATCAATAACACTACTTAAACTGAACATGGGACAAAAAAATTGAAAATATCATCAATTAAAATTTTGTTCATAATGCGTTATTGTGAAAGTCTATTTCACATGCATGGGTGCAAACTCCATTCGCTCGTTATAGCCATAATTTCAACTCGTTAAATATCATGCTTTTTATAACTGCTTTTGTAAATAATACTGGGCCATTAAAATTTTATCTATGTTAGTAAAACTCAATATTAGAATATTTCCCCCTTCTCGTAAAATATTTAATCAGTTAGTGTCAAATACCAGAATTTTACTTTGCATCACTGGATAAAAGTCATGTTAGGTTCGTCTCGCAGACTTGACGATTCCATTCAAACTTGGCTTGAGAATGATATTTAACAACAAAGTAATACGTAAGTCTAGGAAACGCTGTCAAGCCAAATGTCAATTATCTGTCAACCTGACTACATTAACATAGTAATGATGAAACCATCTATGTTCTAAAATATATTCGGCTGCCTACTTGGCCTCCGAAAATAGTTACCCTCATTACATATTTTACCGCTGACTGGAATGTTTGAGCCTACATTTTGGTCCGTAAAGTTGAGCAAAAACGTCCTGTGAATACATTTTCCCAATTTTGACTCTTAATACTTGGCTAATTTCAATAATAAGAGTGTATAAAAGCTTGTTCTATGCTTCTCAAATGCCAGAATAAAGGTCACCGACTATGACGAGATTAGTTTATGAGAGGCCTACACAGCTTATTTCTAAATTGTCCTCGTAAATGGAACGATTACTCAATTTGGAAGAACACCAAACTAAAATAACGAGACTTTGAACGCAATTTTAACTTCACTAGAATATGTAGTAAAAAAAATTGAACCGAGAAAAAAAATACATCTACATTATGTGAAAATCTAGTTTATTGGGACATAAATAAACCTAAATAAGTGTTAGAAACAGAGGATTTCCGGCGAGAATAGACAAAAATAAGACAAAACCAGAACTTAGCCTAGAGTTCTATTCGGTACAAATTGCTGTAACTTATTTATTCTTGTTACGAAGTTAAACGAAAAATGATTTTGAGTAAGCAGTTTATTGCAGTTAGTTTAGTTGAAAACTAGGAAAGATGCAAAAGTCGGATTATGTATTTTGAAGTATAGCAGCGTTGATTCCCGGAGTAATTTACATGTATTACCATAGGAGAATATACCGCCTGAAGTTCGAGCTTAAATTTGCTACGTCAGACAGTAATAAACAAAATTACGCCCGCATAAATGAACAAGCAAATTAAAGAGATGTGTCAGACAAGTGTGAGTAAATGGGCGCAATAATTCGAGTCGCCTATCAAGTTTACTTTAATTTAACTACCTTTGTGCTGTTTAATTATCTCCTAAATGAAATCAAGCCCCGATTCAATAAAGACAAACTTAAAAACAAAATTGATAAATATTCCCCGTTTCTCGATAGTCTCGTCGTCGGTAACGGCTCTTTGAAGTTTTCGTTTCTAATTATGAAAGAACAAAGGAAAAAGTTGGACGAAACGTTTCACAGAACACAGCCATATTGTGTATTTTCAGAACAAATACCATTCTCGTATAAAAGTTGTATCCAGGATCCATCAGGACAAAGCTTTATGGTAGGTAATGTTAAACAAAACTTCCCCAGTATTCTTTATGTCATGTTCTTTATGAATTATTTCGTCTGTAAAACCGGACAAAAATCGCCTCCCGCAAGATGACCACATCAAGTAAAAATTACCTGTAGATTTTTTGCTCCTCGACGCTTTTGTGTACAGCATAAAGGCGGCCAGAAAGAAGACCGACGAGAGGGTTTCGGCCCTTCCGACCACCCCCGTCACCTGCAATTTCAATAGAATTAATATGCTGCCGATTTGTTTGAATTTCGGCTACACAACTTGTACGGCGCCCTTTCCAAATTAGGCTCCGACATAAATCCATCAAATTTAATTAAACGGGGTTCCTTTGCGAAAACACCCTTGAAGATAGCTAGTTATATAATTTACTTAAGACGGATCTCGAATGCGTTTTAGAGTTGCGATTAAATTTTGCGGCTGTTTTCCATCAACCAGGTGAAACTTACATGTCGCTTCAAACTTGATAATAACCGGCGATCAACAGAAAACGACGTCAAGTAGGTGCTTGATGGAATGTGCGTCGTTACCACGCTCTACACACCCTGTCAAATCACCTCTCCATACACGACAAGGACACCGTGATAAATTCAAGGGTTAGAAAGAAATGAAGCTAATTTACGCACTATTCTGTGTCATAATGTTGTGACAGTTTGTTTTTACATTACCAGTTCTGAAAAACTGATTTTGTACTGACTGGAAACCACAAATTATCGTAAAATACAAACTTAATATATTTAATATTCATAAATAACACTTTCCGTTTCGTTATGTACAGTAGAGTCTGCCAAATAATGAACTTTCGGTTTTCAACACTGCTAATTGGAATTTCCCAATAAACTGCTCCAGATTATAATAATAATGATTTAGAACAATACTAGATCAACGACGACAATTTTGACTTTTAATTTGTTTTAATAAATTTTTGACTTAGGCTTTCCGATGTTTCCATTGTTCTAAATACATCTTCAACAAAATGCATTTTATAGTCTTACATGTGTTCTGATTCATCGAACCTTTGTTTTTCTTAAGCAAGCAATGCAGGAGAAAGTCAAGTCAAGTCAGGTCAGGTCAGGTCAGCTCAGGTCAGGTCAGACCAGGTCAGGTTAAGTCAAATCAGATTACCATAGTCCTAAGCGATTTATTGCGGTTTCCATTACAAAATTTGAAAACAGAAAGACATTGTTCCCTATTTGGTGGACTCTACTCTATACGAAAGCTGTTCACTCTGTGTGCTTTTTATAGCTCGCTCTGTCTATGAATAATAATAATATTCAATTCGATTCAATTTTGATTTTCGGAACAAAGAAAATAAAATTAAAAACCAAATGGAAATAAAGAAGGATAGTGACTGTATAACCAAAGGAAACGGAACATGGACAGGACAAAGGAAAAAAAAAAGAATTTGGAATGGAACAAGAAATGCAGTTAGCTGAATTAAAATGACCGACTTCCGTCAGAAAATAACCTAAAAATCGGAATCACGGGAGAAATGAATGAAAAAGTAAAGGATATAAAATAGAAACAGAAAATCAAAAGACAACCGGATCCAAGACCGCAAAGACAAGAATCAGGACACCTAAGAATAGGCTAGAAGATATGAAATTGAGGATAGAATATCAGAAAAAAAGAGATCAAGAAGGTAAAAACAGTAAGAACAAAATAACCACAACGTTACTAAGATGTGTGGAAAACCCAAAAGAAAACCAAACAAGCAACGAAGAAACTGGTAGGATGTAGAATCCAAAACGAAATTAAAAGAAAGAAGTAAATGTAGAAGAGAAACTTATCAACAAAGAGAGAACTAACAAAACAGACCAAAAAAACAACAAAAAGAGATTAGGAAGCGAAAAAGAATTGGAAAAATTTTGGTGAAGATGTCAACAAAAATTCCAAGGAAAGTATTCGAATATCTTAGAACAAGATTTAGTCACTAAGAGGAGTAACAAATCAGAAGAATAATAAGTGAACCAGATCCATTGAAAGAAGAAACGAAAGCAGATTAGCGAGAATACAATACACAAAAATTCAGATACCAAGAAGGAAGACAACGAAAAACAAGATAAACCAGGTAATCGAAAAGAGCAGGAAGAGAATAAAGGAAAGACAAGAGCAGATGAACTACAAGAAGTAATAAATAAAATAAAGACAGGAACGGCGAGTGTATGCGAAGACATGGAAACACAAATGGTAAAATAGAAAGAGAAATAGTATGTCACAGCTTAGAAGATCTAGCAATAATAAATCAGCTAAAACAGGTAGTAAAAAGCGTACGAAAGAAGATAACTGGAAAAATACAACAAGTGGTGAGAGATCAGATTACTTCATGATGAATAAGATAATTAAAAAGGAAGATACTCAAAGTCGTAGGATAAACTATAAGGAAGAAGGAGATTAAGAAGTTATAAAACAACAAGAACAAAACCAGATATGGAATATGGAAAATAGATGGAAAGTTTGAGAAGGTATTAAGAGCCACAGCAACCAAGATATGTGAAAAAAGAAAAATAAAACCATAGAAGCAACGAAGAAACTGGTAGGATATAGAATTCAAAACAAAGAAGACAATGTGAAAGAAAAACTTGCTAAAAAAATAGAACTAACATGACAGAGTATAACGATATCAAAAAGAAAGGCAAAAGAACCAACACAGAAATGGTGGAAAATTTCAGCGAAGAACTCAACAAAAATTACAAAGAAAACAATAGAAATGTTCAGGAACAAGATTAAGTGTCTAAGAAGAATGAAAAGAAAACAAATCAGATGAATAATAAGTGAGCCAGATCCACTGAAATCAGAAACGAAAGAAGATTTGCGAGAATATTGTACACAAAAATTCAGATACCAAGAAGGAAGATAACGAAGAACTAGAAAAAGCAGATGATAGAATAGAACAGGAAGAGACTGAAGAACAGATAAGAGTAGACAAACTATAATAATCAATAAATAAAATAAAGACAGGAACGGCGAGTGGAGGCGAAGACATGGAGACACAAATGGTAAAATAGAAAGAGAAACAATATTCCACTGCTTAGAAGATCTAGAAATAATAAATCACCTAAAACAGGTAGTAAAAAGCGTACGAAAGAAGATAACTGGAAAAATACAAAGAGTGGTGAGAGATTATAATACCTCATGATGAATAGTCGTAGGATAAACTATAAGGAAGAAGGAGATTAACAAGTTAAAAACAGCATGAACAAAACCAGATATGGAATATGGATGATAGATGGAAAATTTGAGCAGGTATTAATATCCGCAACGACTAAGATGTATAGAAAAACACAAAGAAAACCATGCAAGCAACGAAAAACAGATAGAATGTAAAATTCGAAACGAAATTGAAAAAAAGAAGAAAATGTAGAAGAGACACTTATCAACAAATAGAGAATTAGCAAAACGAAGTATAAAAACAAAAAAGAAAATTAAAAAGGGAAAAAGAAATAGTAAGAAAATTCTGGTGAAGATCTCAACAAAAACTTCAAGGAAAATAAGAGAATATCCTGGAACAAGATTTAGTCACTAACAGAAGTGAATAGAAAACAAATCAGAAGAATAATAAGTGAACCAATTCGACTGAAAGAAGAAACGAAAGAAGATTTGCGAGAATGCTATACACAAAAATTCAGATACCAAGAAGGAAGACAACGAAAAACTAGAAAAACCAGGTGATCGGAGAACAGGAGAAGATTGAAGCAAGAGCAGGTGAACTATAAGAAACAATAAATAAAATAAAGACAAGAACATATTACTCCATGATGAGAGATACTCGTAATCGTAGAAAAAATTATAACGAACAAAGAGATGAAAAAGTTTGTCGCAGCAAATAAGTAAGCATACAAGTAACGAAAAACTGGTGGGATATAGAATTCTACACGAAGTTAAAAGGACGAAGAAAGTGTGGAAGAAAAACATACCAACAATTAGATTTCTAGCAAGACAGAATATACCAACAGAAGCAAAAAAGAAATGGTGGAAAAATGTTTCTGAAGAACTCAACAAAACCCACAAAGAAAATAGTAGAATATTCTGGAACAGGATTAAGTTACTAAGAGGAGTGAATAGAAAACAAATTAGAAGAATAATAAGTATGCAAGATCTATTGGAAGTGGAAATGAAAGAAGATTTGCGAAAATACGAATTCATGAGGAAAATAGCCGGAAAATCAGAATTAGGTAAAATGGGGTAAGAGAGACTAATAAAGGGGATATATGAAGCAAAAAGAATCGCAAAGAGGATACAAGGGAGACCGATGAAGACTTAGAGCCAGCAAATATGAGAGATGGAAAAAAAACGAAGGAAAACTTTGAGAGAAATGAAAAATCTATCACGACACTAAAAACAATAATGGAAGAAGTGGATTAAGAGTTAAAAAATACTCCTCCAAAATCTATTAAGGGTACAAGGAGATATCGGGAAAGAAAGAAAAAATATTTTCTGGCGTTTAACAACATGAAATTTCTATTCACGTTTATGTGGAAAATATTTCACGTTTCTACTAAAGTTAAACATTCTTATTGGAGTAGGTATAGATCAGTTGTTTTTTTTTAATGTAACTATGAATTTATTTAACTTGTTTATAACATTTGGTTAAAGCTTGCCTGAAGATCCAACGCTTGTGGTTTCTGTTTGAACATTCCGTGGTAATTTTGAAAACTTTAACACTCAAAGCATCTTGAAAACGCCTCACTACTCTTGAAAATTAGAACAGAAGTGCATCCAACAAAACCACCACACACGTTAGGTACGTACATTCCAATTTGACAGATTGCTTTCGAATCCTGCACTCAAGTTACTCTATAAACTGAGAACTGGGTAAAACAAGCAAAGATTGGCTCCAGACTTGTGGTCGTTTTCTGTTCATCGCACGTTAAAAGGCTCGACTTACCGCTTCAGTGTGGATTGGATGTACCACGAACAACATGGCCGCCACGAAACTTGACAACTCCGGGAGGAACATCGAGCACATCCTGAAACGGATACAGATATAGTCGTAGTCTAGGACATCATAGTTAAACAAGCTATATTAACTTTGCCAACAGTTGATTCTCTTAATTAGCGAGATATTCATGCTGGAAATTACCGCGCTGTAAATTGACATTTCAGAGGAAAACTTCGTCTTTGATAGCGCAGATGATGCACGAACACACCTGCAAAACCAACCCGGATTCGTTAAAGTTCAGAAGGTCTCTGCTTTGAAGCCTGAATGAACGAGTACGAAAATAAATCTGAAAATACGGTGTTGCGTATGGAAATAAATGCAATAATCAGAGATAATTGGCAATAGTCGCAACTGCGTATGACATTTTTTAAATTGAAGTATAAAAATGACATTTTCGTTTGAATGTAGGTGTAAACAAGCACAATGAACAGATGAAACGTGACTAAAAAAACATTAATTTGGATAAACCGCCTTCGCCTTTCGCCAACGGGGTGGGCACCGTCAGGATAATTAAACAATGTTTGTGTGTTCACTTTTTTAGATTTCACGAATAAAATAAATCCTTCTTTCTTTCATCAGCGTCTCGACTTTATTCTCGAACCGTTCCCAGGATCTTTTTCAGAAAATATATAATTCAGCTGTTGTTGCATTTTGTGTAAACAAAGTTCTCTTTCGGCCTTTGTGCGAACCCCGTTCATAGCACTACACTAGAAGCCACAATTTCAAAGTCGCTTGACAAAACCAGAGAAAATACGCCAGATAAAATTAATAATGTAGAGCAGATGATTAGACGTTGTATAACAATACAGGCGCTTCGCGGTTTTATTAATTCATACATAACTCAACGCCATAAAAAGGCATTGATAACGATAATATACAGCAAAAATAACGAGCACCCTTCAGGCTTTTGTGTGTGGTAATAATAGAAGACCAAATCTCTTTTTCCATATCGTCCCGCTTATCAACCATCATTTCCTTTTAGCATAAAGTCACGTGTATCGAGTTCTGTTTCTGAGGGCCCTTCACCAACATTCGCGATTTTATAAAGGCTCAATTTCTGTTCTCTTTTAAAAAGCGGAAGGATCGATAAAAATCTAGACCGTATGTAAGCAGGTGCATACTCGCAGGAAAATTATATGTCACAAATGAGTACGTGTATTTCTGCAATGTGATCGCATGTCTAAGTGGTTTATTACACAGGTCGAGTATAAGTCAGTGCTGTAGGCGCGGAAAATGGGTTAGTAAATAATAACAGGAATAAATTAAAGTTGAAAAAACTCATATATAAGTGTAGACGAGTTTAATCAACGACACGTGGTAAACAGTGGTATTTATCCAAACCCATTATATCTGAGCATTAAACTTTTATTTCGGCCATAATGTCGACTAAAATTAACTGTGAACTTTATAAAATTGAAATTAAACTCACCACGACGAAGTTTAGGTGTATCAATTTTAAACTTGATGTAAACATTTTAAATGCCACTAAAGCAAGCGTCAAAAAATATGCACAACTTTTAAAAGAATTTTTAAATTTGTTTTGAAACTTAACCTCGTGTTGAGTATATCCGGAACATTCCAGAAAACAATTTTCGACTGCAAGTTCTCTGGAGGGTGTTGAGTTGACCAGCTAGGCCTCAAGATCTATCACCCATCGAACGTTATATGATCGAGAGCAGGCTGAAAATTTACCCACTCCTTCAAACAATTTCAAAGAGGGATGTGAGAAACTGAAAGGGCATGAAATAAGATCCCCCAGGAGGACATCAGCCGCATTAGAGAGTGCCCCATCGTGTAGCTGCCAACGTAAGAGAGGCAACGTCACACACTATCAGTCTCTGTTTTGTTATTTTTTATCGTAAAAGGTTTTTCTTTGAAATTCACAGTTCCCTTATTAAAACTCTACAACAAAATTAGCATAGAAGTTTATTCAAAAATAAAAGAGAAGTAAATGAGACTGTGTGTTCGAAATTTATTTGTTAGATAATCTCAGAAATTATTGCATTGGTAATCAAGATTCTAAAGGACAAAAGCTCGCTACGTAAACAATGCCGTATCTCAGGGCGTTTTGTGTAATCAACACTTACTTAGCAATTTTTTGAAAAAAAATCAGAGTCCCACACAGAACAATATAATGATTGTTTTAAGCTTAGCCAAGTAAATTAAATTAAATTAAATTAATGTTTGTTACGTGGAATGCCAAAAATTTTTTAATTCACAATAATCTTAAACCACAAAAGTTTAAATATCTAGATCAGTAAATACTTAAATTTAATTCATTTCTAACAGACAAACAATAATTTTTATGATGATTCGGAAAGTAGCGATTGAACCATATCTGTTGAGTAATAATAAATGAATTATCACCGACGAATCATGTTCATACCATCCATAAACGGTGTTGACATTTATTTTAAATACGCCGATTTCAGTGACCTATATATGTATTGTGTCATGAACCTAGAACTTCATTTGCCAAATACCACTTCGGTTACTGTTTTATTAAAAATTCACAAGAACTGTTTGTTAAAAAAACAAACTGTTGAAGTAAAATTCAATCTAAATAGTATCAATTGCCAAATCACAACAGGTTGGTACAACGCCTGGCAAACCATTGAAAATTTAAAACAGCAGGAAACTATAAATATGTAACTGTACATAATTTATTTGGCACTAACAAGTGTCTAAACAGAAGTGAGGAAATTACATAATAATAATCCCATTTCTAAATGGTTATGGTTTTAAATAAATAATCAAACTGTAAAATCTAGTATTGTATATAAAAACAAGTACCAAAACGCAAATATACTTGTATGTTTTTTTTTCGATCCTCCTTTTATTTCTTTTGCCATTTATAAACTTTGTCTTGAGTAGTAACTATGGGAAGTATTGTAATAAGATTTTACGAATTTCTGATGCACTATTTTTAATTCTCAACAGACATTTTCTTACATGTTAATCTCTCCATACTAAACGAATCAAGTATACGGTCTGAAAATTTGCTCGTATAACTAGAAATCTTCAACGAATAGAATGCTTCAAACCGCAATGCGAAATCTTGTGCCGTTTTGGAATTATGTCTGGTTAAGTTTGAAAAAAAAAAATGTTCTTTAGCCCGCATATGACACCTTTCTGTATATTTCTCTCTCGGGTTGAGTATCTGGTCCAAAAATTTGGTGCTAGAACCATAAAGCTACAAGGAATCGAATGATTTGAACGGCAATGCGCAATCTTGTGCCGTTTTGGGGTTATATTTATCTTAGTAAGTTTGAGGAAAGAATATTTTTAACTCTCAAATGACACCTCCCTATATATTGGTTCCTCCACAGTAAACCGATCACGTATCCGGCCTAAAAATTTGCTCCTGGAACTACAAAGCTTCAAGGAATCGAATGCTTGAAACCACAATGCGGATATTTGTGGCGTTTTGGAGTTAGGTCTCATTAAGTTTGAAAAAATAATCTTTTTTAACTCTCAAATGACATTTTCCTAAATATTGGTCTCCTCCATGTTAAAAAGATCGAGTATGCGGTCTGGAATTTTGCTGGTAAAACTCGAAAGCTGCAATGAATCGAGTGGTTCATACCGTAACGCGAAATCTTGAGCCATTTTGGAATTATATCTCCTCAAGTTTGAAAAAAAATTATGTTCTTTAGCTCTCATATGACACTTTCCTTTATATTGCTCTCTCTGTACAAAGCGGATCGAGTATTTCGTCTAAAAATTTGGTGGTAGAACCAGAAAGATTCAAGTAATTGATCGCTTTGAACAACAATTTGAAATCTTGTGGCGATTTGAAACTGGGTCAGGTTAAATTTCGAAAAAGGTTGTTTTTAGACGCTCAAATGACAATTTCCTATACATTGGTCTCTCTACACTAAACAAATTTAGTATCCAGTCTGAAAATTTGTTCCTAGAATTAGAAAGCTTCATGGAATACAGTGCCTCAAACTGTTTTGGAATTATGTCTCATTAAGTTTGAAAATATAATGTTTTTAAAATGACACTTTCTTATACCTATATTGCTATCTCCATACTAAACGAATAGAGTATCTGATATGAAAATTTCCTGGTAGAACTAGAAAGCTTCAAGGAATCGAATGATTCGAACGGCAATGCGCAGTGTTGCGCCGTTTTAGAGTTATATCTCATTAAGTTTGAAAAAAGGATCTTCTTAACTCTCAAATAACACCTTCCTATATATTGGTTTCTTCAAAATAAACCAATCAAGTATCTGGTCTGAAAATTTGGTCCTGGAACTACAAAGCTTCAAGGAATCGAATGCTTGAAACCGCAATGCGGATATTTGTGGCGTTTTGGAGTTACGTCTCACTAAGTTTGAAAAAAGAATCTTCTTTAACTCTCGAATGACATTTTCATAAATATTGGTCTCCCCATGCTAAAAAGATCGAGTATGCGGTCTGAAAATTTGCTGGTAGAACTAGAAGGCTTCAAGGAATCGAGTGCTTCATACCGCAATGTGAAATCTTGAGCTATTTTGGAATTATATCTCCTCAAGTAAAAAAAAAGTATATGTTCTTTACCTCTTATTTAACACCTTCCTGTATATTGCTCTCTCTATACCAAGCGTCTCGAGTATTTGATCTAAAAATTTGGTGGTAGAACCAGAAAGCTTCAAGGAATTGAACGCTTTGAACAACAATTCGAAATCTTGTGGCGATTTGAAACTGGGTCAGGTTGAATTTCGAAAAAGGTTGTTTTTTGACGCTCAAATGACAATTTCCTATAGACTGGTCTCTCGACACTAAACACATTTAGTATCCAGTCTGAAAATGTGTTCCTAGAATTAGAAAGCCTCATGGAATACAGGGCCTCAAACCGTTTTGGAATTATGTCTCATTACGTTTGAAAAACTAATGTTTTTAAAATGACACTTTCTTATACCTATATTGCTATCTCCATACTAAACGAATAGAGTATCCTATATGAAAATTTCCTGGTAGAACTAGAAAGCTTCAAGGAATCGAATGATTCGAACGGCAATGCGCAGTGTTGTGCTGTTTTAGCGTTATATCTCATTAAGTTTGAAAAAAGGATCTTCTTAACTCTCAAATGACACCTTCCCACATATTGGTTTCTTCAAAGTAAACCAATCAAGTATCCGGTCTGAAAATTTGCTCCTGAAATTACAAAGCTTCAAGGAATCGAATGCTTGAAACCGCAATGCGGATATTTGTGGCGTTTTGGAGTTACGTCTCATTAAGTTTGAAAAAAGAATGTTTTTAACTCTCAAATGACATTTTCCTAAATATTGGTCTCTCCATGCTAAAATGATCGAGTATGGGATCTGAAAATTTGCGGGTAGAATTAGAAAGCTTCAGCGAATCGAGTTCTTCAAACCGCAATGCGAAATCTTGAGCCATTTTGGAATTATATCTCCTCAAGTTTGAAAAAAAATTATGTTCGTGGCTCTCATATGACACCTTCCTGTATATTGCTCTCTCTATACAAAGCGGATCGAGTATTTTGTCTAAAAATCTGGTGGTAGAACCAGAAAGCTTCAAGGAATCGAACACTTTGACCAAGAATTTGAAATCTTGTGGTGTTTCGAATGTGGGTAGCCTTAAATTTCACATTTTTTTTTTAATTTCCTGAAGGGTTCACTTTGTCATAACGGACTCGATACAATGAATTTTCCAGAGATTTTTTTTATCAAAATTATTTCTTTAATGGGTACGGATAATGTATGTATTGTCTGTTTTCCTAATTGTTATTACATATAGTTAGTACCCAATATTTATCATAATGATTACTAAGCTTTACGAATAATACATTCCACGGTTACAAAAGACAAAAGTAATTTTTCAACAATGTAAATTGTGTTCATTACAACCCTCCTCAATGCCCTAGTTTTGCATGAGAAGAGAAATATCAATGGTATTTTAACGAGTGCTTTGAATATTAACATGTAATGTAGTTTCTACGAGATAACTAAATCCTAAAAGCTCGCATCTGTCACATCCAATATTACATAAATGTCACAGTTGATAAAGATACTTATTACAGAGACAACATTATCCTGAATTCCACTAATGTTCTTGGGGTCGTATCATAAATGAACCTGTACGTAATTCCTATTACATTTAACTACAAACAACACAATAATTAATTTTTAAGTTTCAATTAGGGCTTCCTAGAAAATTCCACAGCATAGAACTAAGTCAACTATTTCGGAAAATATTTAAGAGATATTCTTGAAGGAAATTCGCTTGTTCCAGGAAAATACACGCAATTTAAATGAATATTTCTGTCATTTATTTTTACAAATGACAAATAAAACAGAACACAGATAGACACATGCTAATGTTTTACCATGTTTTATTTCATCGTTTTTGGGCATTGGCTCCAGGGTAAAAATGTAGCCAGGTGCTGTATTTGAATTTACAGTGTCGTTTAACAGCGTTTTCGGAGATTTAATTTTAAAAAACATTGTGGCATAAAATTTTACTGTTCTGGAACGGGTTGCAGCCAGTTACCACTTGTATTAAGCGGCTTAACTGTTAATTTATACTTATACGTATATACGATGTGACATCTGTACGGGAAACTAACATCAATACTCAAAATACTCCTTAAGCATTTTCTTATTCTAGAAGCTGTTGAATGTCAAACTTCCTTCTTGATTTTAAAACTTGTTATGCCACTAACCTAACTTCCGTTAAAAAAATACGATCCAGTCTGAGCGACTCTGGCTTAATTATGGGTTAAAAATATCTCTGGGTTTAAATATAATGTAAAACGGAAAAAGAAAAAGAACTATTTGAACTAAACTGGGAAAGAGTTCTCGGTTCTATATAAAACCCAAGATTTTTGTTATTTTTCATCTAAATTCGTTTATTTCTTTTGGCATTCTAGCACCTGCAGTTATTCCCGGTATATTAAACTCGGTGTAGAATGTGGAGCGGAATTTAAAAAGCGGCAATTTCAATTTAATTATAACCGTGTAATATGACCTGGAAAAATGATGCGACCTCTGTCGTTTCCCACGGATGAAATGATCAAATGCAATATTAGCGAAACATTGTTAACAGTGTGTATCGAAGTGGAAGCAAATTTATTTTATTAGGAGGCCGACGAGCTTAATTGTTTGTAAAAGAGCCAGAGACAATAAAGAGATGAAATGTTGTGTAAATTTGGTTTTCCCGTCGATACTGCGTACAGTGAAGGGCACAAAAGCACGTTAAAGTTATTTTAACGGCGCTATCGCATGTTAAAAGAAGATTAGCTCGGTTCAAGATGTTAGTAATTTGATATTATATACTAACCTGAAGTACATGAGGCAAACTACCGAATGTAAAAGCATGTTCACGAGATGATACCCTATGGGTTCCAGCTGCCAGTACAAATAATTCCATCGGAAAGTCAAAACACACAAAGGCCGGTAGGACTTGTGGCTTTGCTCCTGAAACAATAAAAAGGATGCATTAGCATAAAGTATCCAGCGAAATGCATCACAAAAAGCACGAAAAGAGGCGCGTAAATCGCGGGAAATTCACCGTTAGCTCATTTTTAATGCATAAAAGTGCGATGTAAACCGTAAATGCGAAAATTCAGGCGAAAATGTTGATTTTTAGTTGTGCTTTATGCCGTCATTCGCGTAATAGAAGATCCATTAGTTATTTTACGAAACACGTGGTATGAATAACTTAAAAGAATTTCTTTCAAGCATTGTCGCTCAAACAGAGAATGTGGGAATTAATGTCCCGTGTTTCAGCTCCCAGCGATTTCATTCTCTTTACAGCTACACATTTTTTGAAGCTTTGAGAAACTGAAAACATCTAAATTTTAGGTTTAAATGCAAGTCTATTTCACTTTGATGTACAACTAAAAAGGAAGCTAAATATAGGGTACCTACATCAAAGTAATTTGGAATGAAAGAAAACGATGCCCTTTTACTTTATGTTACAAATAAAAATGGAATTCCACGCATAAAGGAAAATTTTTATTTCTGTGACAAAGTTTTACGATAAAGCCGCTGCCCCAAATTTATTTTTGTATTATACGGAGCAATAAGGTAAATTATCCCTGTTAGAACATTCCCATTATAAAAACTGTCCAAACATTATTTATTTTAGTATTATACCACGCCGTAAACCCACCGGGTGAGACCCTAAAAAGTCCACCCCATCAAAAACAAAAGTGGGCAAAAATTAATGCCGCTCTAAAAAGAAACACCAAAGTCGTCGCAACACACGTAGCCACCATCTGAAACCGGGACGTAATTGAACAAGGCACAAATTTTGTTTTATTCACATTAAAATCCATCAGCTGAAAGTTGTGTGCAGTCAAGCGGAATACTAAATGAGACACAGCGCGCAGAAAAACCTTCAAAATATCGTTGCTACACATAAAAATGAAAGGTCCAACAGCTCGTTTAAAATTTCCGGATCTGCAAATCCTCTATAAAGTCCCAGCGGAAAATTCTCTTTAATTTATCGAATAAAATATGGGCTCATCAAATATTAATAAAAATCCTGCTGTCGGCCACATGCGGATCGATACCTAACCTTAGGCTTTAATCAATTCATCCCTAAAATTCGAATTCGATGAATTGCTTAATTCAATTAAACGAACAAATAATTATTACCAAAACTCGAGCCTCGACATGCTACATTTAAAATTTTCGGTTGATATTCGTCCCATTAATACATTAATGTCCAACTGCGTTGCCTGAATTATTCAATTTATTGAGTATGCACAGTTAGTTATTTTTGCAAATTAAACACGTTTTAAATTCGCTCAAATTCAAGCAATATTACACCATAAATATTGCTACCGAAGCACTGTTTATTCCAGAAATTTAAAAATCTAAAGTTCCAAACAGTTACAATTATATTTATATTTATAGAAACGATATGTCGAATTATGTCAAAAATAAAATTTATAAATAGGACAACTCCTTTTTAGATTTTTTGTAGTGTTATTTTCGCCTTTTTGGAATAGAGAAAAAAAAATTAGTTGTTTAACACTAAACCATTTATGGGTTAGCCGAAGAAATCAAAGTTGAGTACTTGACTTGGGCAGTCTACAAATGAAAATATCAGATCAGATCAAGTCAGGTCAGGCCAGATCAGATTAGATCAGGTCAGGTCAGATCAGAGCAGGTCCGATTAAGTCAGATCAAGTTGGGTCAGAGCAGATCAGGTATGGTCAGATCAGATAAGATCAGATCACGTCAACTCTGATTAGGTTAGGTCAGATCAGGTTACCATTTATGGGTATAGTCGAAGAAATCAGAGTTTAGTTAAGCGGTGTACGAATGTAAACGTCAGGTCAGGTCAGATCAAGCCAGGTCAGATCAGATCAGATCAGATTATAATATGATTGATGAAAAGGTAATGAGAGGGAGAGAGAGAAAGGAGAAAGAAATTGTGAGAGGTAAGTGAATGAGAATAAGAAGAGAGATCACAAGTAAAACAGGGAAAAAAAGATAGGACGACGGAAGAACAATAACAACAAAATAATAATAATAATAATAATAAAAAAGACTGCATGCCTGAAGAACCAACAAACGATAGAAGTAGGAGAAGAAGAAAAATAGGAACGATGAACAAGAAAGGAAAAGTAAGGAAGTGAAGAGGAAAAGGAAAAATATTAGAATAGAGAAAGAAGAAGAAAGTGACGAACAACCAACTCCCTGAAGTAATGCTAACGCGGTTCCGAGGGGGGGGGATAGGAGAAATCCATTATGTTCTTATAATTTGCCATAATTAATTTTTACTTATATTCTTAAATATGAGTTAAAAACTGCATGTAGTATTTCATTCGGCTTCACATGATTTAAGTGAAATCACTTTCAAAATATTTGCAAATTATATTGTACAAATAAAAAATTGATCTACAGCTATTGCGACATAACTTTCCGTCTCTTTAAAAAATTATAAAATTTGATTTTCCGGTTTTCGTTTTGTGATTAATAACCTCTATAAAGTAAAAACCAATGGAGTAATTAACACTTTCGTAGCCTCTGTGCTGCGGGGGCAAAACCTTAAAGGTCTGCACAAGTGTGGACAATATAAAATATATTGAAAGCAGATAACCAACGGGTAAAGATGTTCTCAATTTCTCAGTACATGCTTGCAAGAATTCGACTATTAATTAGTACGTTGAGATTAGAAGCATCAGCGATTAAAAAAAGAGTGCGTCGACCCAGGGACGCACGGTTGGAGTTTTAACTCTGAGTTGTCAATGTCTATAAATTAAACACGTATACGCGGTGACGTCATTAATTTTCTCTTAATTAAAAAATAATAACAACCAAAAATATGTTGCATTTGTATTTTTTTACAAAATGATGACTAATCAATTGTTGTTTATGTTTATTATAAAATATACTTTTTTTATTTATTTATTATATAAAAATATCATAATTAATTATTATAATAATATTGTATAAAAAAATTAAACTACAATGTGTAATTCACCAACTAAAGTAACAAGTAAATATTTACAAATGCTAGAGCAGTAATTATAACTTATTCGATTTAAAATACAAATTACTGTTTAGCGTTATCGCTTTCGGTATCTTTATCCCTATCATTTAATACAGAAGTAAAATGAGTGATATACATGAATTGAATATCAGTTCTTAAACGAGTAATAAAGCGTGTGAAAACGGCATTAATTGTTGTACCTAATTTAGTCGTTGGAACAGTCAAACGAACACATTTTATTAAATAGTTGTAACATGGCTCTCTCCACTCAGACGAAGTTCCAAAAGTTAGTCTGTGCATCACTTCTGCATCCTGAGTGTCGTTGTGGTCTAAATACTCTTTGAATTTTTCGACACCGACACCAACACCGACATCGACACCGAGTTCGAGCTCGCAGCTCGAACTCGACATCCTATTCCGGCGCGCGGCGTATACGTATTCTACAATAGGAAAAGAAAGGAGTTAAAACTCTAATTGAATGAAATTTGATTTTGTCTCTTAAACGCAACAAAGATGATTGACTAATGAATTAATCAGACTCAGTTTTTTCCCACATATACTCATAATTTTTAAGAACTTTTCGGCAAAATTGTAAGATGACGGATAAATTTTGATTAACGATTTACAATGTCAAAATTGGAACTTCAAAGGTAAACTGTAAAAGCAGTTATAAAATTCGGACGTTATTCCCAAAAATCTGGATGCCAAGAGTAAAAAACTCAATACGTTTTCTACATCCACCAGTTGAATAGAAATAATTATAGATACTTCAGAAATTAATTACGTGGATGAAATGCATTCACTCGCTGTCTATATTTATTGACACGACAATAGATATTCAGTTGATTTGCATTTTTATAAAAATACGAGTATATTTTTAATTTCCAAACAAAAATAAAACATCAATTTGCAATATCGAAACAAAGTTAATCAAATGATGACAAAAATGGACTTTAAATTTGTTAATTGGCCAGTTTTCTCAGCAATAAAACGCCGTCAACAACCTTGCCGACACAAAATTTACTGTCTCCTGTTGTATATTATGCAATTTTTTTCCATAACTCAAACTGGCGCAGACCCAAATCAAATGCCTTGACTTCGCCTGTGGATTGTCAAGTAAAAGCTCGAACTCTCGTCAAACGGCTTACAACAAAATATTTTTTTCTTTATATTTGAATGAAACTGAAATAGTCTTGAAAAAAATGCTTAAAACGAAAGTAATGTCTTCGATCACGCTCCCAGCTTGTTACACCTGCCAATTCGCTGTCAGCAACCGTCGGTTTTGGTTGTCATAAAAATCTATCTATTCTTCGCCGCAACACCATCCAACACTAATTCATTTAGTACACAAGAAAGTGAACTATCTCGAAAACACAGGCTTCGTAATAATAATTCGGTCGTCCGTTAAACATTTAAACAGCTATAAACTTATATTATATTATTATATATAAAATGCCCCAAAAACCGCACCAAACCGGCTGAAACAGATTTTAATATCATAAATTTTTAGCAACGAGTGTAATCATGAATATGGAAAATATTTATGACTCATTGCAGCAATATAAAAATCGTCATAATGTTTTATCGATTTTTAATGACCGTTTTCCGTGTGGCTTGAAAAACTGCGTAAGCATAAACAATAGATTCTTCTCCACAATATTCCATAAACTATGCAGAGGCACGTAATTATTTTGAAAACAATGCTGACAAGTCTTGTAAGAGGGTGCACTTCATTTAAACTCAATGGATAATGAATTTTGAAGTAGGTAGATATATGTTATGGTAATATAATTTTGCCATTAAAATTGTAGGAAGAATTCAAATTGACCGTTGATGAAAATACCATGAATTAACCTGCATTTTAAATTACGTCAATATAAAACACGACATACTGTGGTTATTTATCCCGTTTACAATAGCATTTCGTATTTTAGAAATTTATGACAATCGTTGTAATAACACTGTGATA